GTTGCCTGTTGACGATCTTCTCTCATGTGGAGAGCAGATCGAACATCTTCCAGAGACAGAGTTTCTTTACCAGCAAGAAACGAATCAACAAAATTCTCATACGATTCAGGCAAAGAAACTAGCAGAATTAAAGCAGCATCCTCATCATCTACTTTAACATCAATGTTGCGAAGGTCAAGCAAAATTTTACTTAACTTTTCCAGATGATCCCGAAGGGGTGTACCTTCCTGCATGCGTAGTCGAAATAGACGTTGCTTCAAGAGCAACTTATTGGTCAGAGACTTCGTCATGTACAAGCTCTCCAACTTCATCCAGAGGGCAGCAGCTGTCTCCTGATCATCGACTTCGATGATAACATCGTCTGACAGGCACAACATGATTGTCGAGTGGGCCTTTTCTTCTAGGGTTTTCCACTCTTCATCATCGTTTGCCTTATTCACATTTTCAATTAGCGGCGCCCACAATCCCTGCTGCTTAAGCAACGATCGCATCTTGATCTGCCATAAGCCAAAGCTATTTCTCCCGTTGAATTTATCAATCTTCACGTTCAGAGCAGATGACATCTTCGATCGACTCAAGAAACCCTAACAGTGCGGAATTCAGAAAATCCCTAATCGGAAGAACTAGGCTCTGATACCAGTTTGTTATTACGGAATAGGGTATTGAGTAATCAAAGAACAAACAGAAAACACGACAACAGATTTAACGTGGTTCACCAACGTTGTGTTGGCTAGTCCACGGGGAAGAGGGGGAGCAGTTTTATTTCTGATGGAGAGGCAAAATAGAGTACAACACTTAGGGTTTGTGGTAGCACCCATATAAATAGTGCTTGGCGAAACCCTAACAGGCTTAGGCCCAAAAAACTACAGAATTAAGAGATAGTTAAACAGCCTAATTAGAATGGGGTTCGGACATCTCAGGATTCAGACCTCTCAGGATTCGGATTTCTTGACTTCTCCGGAAAACGGATTTCTCAGACTTCTCCGGTTTTGACTCCTCCGGATTTGGACTTCTCCGGATTCTGACTTTTCCAGACTTGGAGCTGTGATGAGTAGATTCAAGGCATTTTAACACAAAACATAACTCAATGCAATTAGAAAAAAACCTTGGAGAACTCGAAATTGCACTCGACTTACGTATTTTTATAGACATTATTGACATAGAACAATACGAGATTTAATTTATGTCTGTGATAACTCTAAAGACATTGAGATCAAAAGTGGAGTGCAACTTGAAATTGCTAGAGAACTCATACAAGAGAGAGGTTTAGAAGAACGGGATATATGGGCTGGATTTTAATACCAGGTTTTCTTTTTTGGTTTTTCTATTTGCGCCAGCAAAATATTATTACTACGTAGATATTTGTCCCAAGAAAATCTTGTAATAAACTACATTATTAATGCATTATATGTCAAGTTGTATATATCTCTTTACGTTATATATATAAATATATACTCCGTATATTATATTCATCAATCACTTGTAATATTAACATTGTCTAACCAGCTCTTGTTAAGTAATTTTTTTTATTTAGTTACGTTTTAAACACTTTGTACATAAGTTTTATTTCTAACTTTTCTATCAATATTGAAACAAATTGAAATTAACTTAATGAAGTATTATAAATTTTAACATCAAGTAATTGTTTGGGACAACGGTAATATAATGTCTTTTTGCTATAAATCTACCGACTTTAGTTAATTACGGAGTAATATATATAATTTCTTTGTTCTAAATTTACCGACTTTACTTTTTTAAAGTGAACTGTCACTTAAAGGGAATGACACGCTAGGAAGTGGGGTGTGGGTAGTTTTTAGAGTTCGTTAGGAGGAGGATTATAAATCACTTCGGAATTGACCGAAGCATTGTAAAGGTGTCAAATGCATCCAATATTATGATATTGAGTTTTAATGTCAGAATAATCTTGTGGATTACAAATATATTATGATATTGAGTTTTATCAAATTTTCATTTTAAGATCATCCAAATGCATCTTTCTAATTTTAATTTGTCAATGTAATAAATGCAACATTAACTTTTTTGTCTAATCCCAAAACAAGTTAATAAATGCCCAATCATAAAATAAGAACATATGAATTATCTTTCTTATTTTTCCCATCTTTTTTACCAATGTGCCAAACCGAGAGGTATTGTAGTACAGAGACCCAACGGGAAAAAGGGGTACACGTTAGAAGAGTAACCTAAAATTTGATATTTCTGTCTCTTATTGAAGATATAACTTTATAAAAAAATCTGGAAAACCACAATTGAAGTGATTAGTCATCAAAAATTAGAAATTTAGTACTCCATTATATACTTCATTTGTCCCATATAAAACTTTTGACTTTTTTTTTACTGTCCAAAACAATTTAATTTTTTTTAAAAGCAAAAATAATTGTGACTAAGAAAATGTCTCTTTCCTCCGAACCAATTCTAAGGATATTTTTTCACTCTTCAATAATTTTTTCAAATTCGGTGAAATTAATTTTTTTATGGAAGGGAGGGAGTAGTTAGAACGCACAACATTAGGGGGAGAATTTAGTCTAATTAGAGGTTGTGTGCAAATGTGTACACACAACATTAGCCACTAATAATCTTGGGCGGAGTCTTACAAATGTGCCGAGTAGTATAAAGGCGTCTAAACTGCATTGAAAAATAAAAATAATTATTAGCAGTTTAATTAAAAAATGAGGATATTTCGTGGACTTTTTCTATTGCCTCTTTGGCCGGGGCCCGCACTATTTTTTATCGAGTTTTTATAAAGTTTTTTTTTTGGTGAAAAATAGGAAAAGCAAAGCATAAAGTTAAACAATTTTGTTTTTTAAACTTGTGGTGGGATCGTCACGAACGTTGGGTGAACGAACGCAACAACAATCGGGGGCAAAACCGTCAAAAAAATTCTCCAATTTCCTTATCTTTATATAGTGGTTGTTCGGTCCATCGAATGTGCATCCCTGTACAACCAGATACCCCAATCTTCCACCCTTTCTCTTTCCTTCTTCTTCAACTCGTACAATTCGTATTTTTTTTCTCGGTGGTCTTCAGAGAGTACATAGATCAGCCTTGGGACCTTCCGGTTTCTGTCAAAATCTTGATATTTAAGGTATGGGGTTTCATCTATTCACTCAATGATTCGTGTTTCTTGATCGAATTTGTCTGGGATTTTTTCTGATCTTCATTTTCGATCTGTTTGTTTCTATACAGGAATCTGGTTCTTTTTCTGGTTTGAGAAAAGATGGATAAAGATTGCTTCTTTGATAGCCGCGACGAGATCAGTTCTGTTTCTGGCTCGGAATGCTCGGAGCCATGTTTGAGTAGCAGCGCCAGGAATGATACTGGCGCTTCTGATTACGAAATCTGGACAAAGAATCTTGAAAGCGTGGATGTTCGCCGGAGCAGGCTTCTGAACTGGATGGGATTGAGTTCTGATTCGGGTGTGGCGGACCGAGATGAATCAAATTGTGATTTTGAAATAACTGTGGATGATAGAGTCAGTGATAATTGTGACACCGTGCTGGCAAACACTGAATCTGCAGATGATTTCTTCTGTGGACGCGATGAAGATTTGGAATGCGTTCGAGATGATGACCAAGGGTTTCGTAGGGCTGCTGGGTCTTCTTTGTCTTCTTCATCTTCATTGGTTCAGAAATTGTTGCGCAGAGATTCGTCGGGAGGATCTGATAATGCTGCCACCACAAAGAAGAAGTTGAAAACAAGTTGGCTTCAGAAATTGATTGAAGAGAAGAGCCGGAAGATGATAAAGAGCGGTCGTTCCAAGTCTGGGTGTGGATTGGAAAAGGTCCGAGTTCATACCCACAAGAAGGACTCAAAGGAGTTGTCCTCACTCCACACAGGCCAAGAATTTCATGCCCATAAAGGCTCAATCCTCACAATGAAGTTCAGCCCTGATGGGGAGCACCTAGCAAGTGCTGGAACCGATGGAGTTGTGCGCGTTTGGAAGGTGGTTGCATCTGAAGCTCCCAAGAATCTGAGCCACCAAGATGTTGATCCTTCCTCTTTGTACTTCTCCATGAGTGATTTGTCTAAATTAACCTCACTTGATCTTGACAAAGAGAAGAAGATTGGCCAGGCGAAAAGATTCAAGAAATCATCCGAGTCTGCCTGTGTCATCCTCCCACCCAAAGTATTCAGGATTCTGGAGCAACCCGTCCATGAATTTTGTGGGCATCTTGATGAGGTCTTGGCCCTTTCTTGGTCAAGAAACGGGTTTTTGCTGTCGTCCTCAGCTGATAAAACCGCTCGGCTGTGGCAAATTGGACACGATCAATGTCTCGGAGTTTTTCCACATAACAATTATGGTAAGCATTTTTCACCATTTTTCACCCCTATATTTTTCGCCTTTCTTTGCGATCTTTCAAGCATTGTTTATGATGTGGTCTAATGAATTGTGTTACTCCTTATGCAGTGACTTGTGTTGAATTCAATCCTCTGGACGACAACTATTTCATCAGCGGTTCTTTGGATGGAAAAGTGCGCCTTTGGGAGATAAAGCGTGCCCGAGTCATTGATTGGATCGATGTTAAGGAAATAGTCACTGCCTTGTGCTACCGCCCGGATGGAACGGGCGGGGTTGTGGGGTCCATTGATGGGAGCTGCATTTTCTACGACGTAGAAGACAACCGTCTGCAAATAACATCTCAAGTGAGCCTGCAAGGGAAGAAGAAGCCAAACGGAAAGAGAGTAACCGGGTTCCAGTTTTGCCCGAACGATTCGACCAAAGTCATGGTCACTTCTGCGGATTCCCAAGTCAAGATTCTTCATGGTGCCAATGTCATCTGCAAGTTCAAAGGGAGCAGGAACTGTGGCAGCCAGGTCCCTGCAACTTTCACGCCGGATGGAAAGCACGTCGTATCGGTTTCGGACGACTCAAACGTCCACATCTGGAACTACAACGGGCAGGACGCGACCAAAAAAAACATCTGGTCATCCGAGAGCTTCTACTCGGATGAGGCATCGATTGCGATTCCCTGGTGCGGGTTCGAGACCAACTCGCCCGTTCTGCCAGGTGGAAGACCGTTGTCGAACGGGGAGGCTGACGGGAGCGTCCTGCAAAGGCAGGGCCCAACTTCCCCGGACTGTTTCTCTCTGGGCCGTGGGTTTTTCTTGGACCCTTTGAACAGAGGGTCTGCCACATGGCCCGAGGAGACGCTGCCCGAGGAGTCCAGCCCGGTAACCGTTACGCCCGCGATATCTAAGCCGGACTACAAAATTTTGAAGAGTGCTTGGCAGAGCACATTCAATTCCCCCAACTTGTGGGGGCATGTGGTTGTGACTGCTGGGTTGGATGGGTGCATCAGAACATTTCTGAACTATGGTTTACCTGTTTGCTTCTGAGAAGAGTGTTATTCTTTTTTTTTACCAATGTATATTGTTGCTGTACAGGCCAGGTTGATAGCATTGGGGTATTCATCATATGAAGATTGGAGGAGGTCTTTAGGTTATTATAGATAGATTGGAGAGTGTATTATTCATTTTGTATGTAGACAGGAACAGAATTTAGCAAATTTCTCATTGTTATGTAACTACATTAATTTAATTGGAAGGGGTTTCTAACCTGTGTTTTGTACCTCAGTAATTTCAAAGCCCAAATATGTTTTGGTTATTTTAAACCTTGTCTTCATTATCCTAAGTCACAAAAAAATTTACAATCTCGCCTAAATTTCATTATCATGTCTATAATGTCTATAACGAGAGACTAATGACATTAGAGTTGATCACCTTTTAGAAATAAATGCAAACTTTAGATTATTCCTAGTAACATTGAAATGTGTGGTTATTTTCTACTAATCATTTGCTGAAAATTTTAATTGCCATGGTTTCTTTTCTCCGTGTTCACATTAAAATATATAAAATGATATAAAATGTAATTGGGTTATAATTACACAATGCTGAATCGTTAATTGGTTCCAAAATTAATCAATTTGATTTCAAAATTATTACCAAATATCAACAATTCTAATAGAGTTACGAGTCAATCTAACCATGACATTGATTACCAATGTCACATGAATCGGCCCAAAAGAAAATAAGAAGAGAAACTCTATGAATCTTAGATCTACGAGATTCACAGATCTTCTCAAACAAATTATGATAGTAATGTGCAAGACTCTTTCTTTCTGCCTTAGGTTGGACTAGCTATGGCATCGATTGCGACTACGACTAAAGAGACCATTGAAACGGCTGATCCATCTGCAGCGGAAACCGAAGAAATGGTAGAAAATTAGTAGAATGTTCCTGTCCTTATCCCGCTCTTGCTGAGGCTTTCTGAATGTAGGTCAACGCTGGGAAACCCTTTTTTTAAAAAAATAACTTCTTTCCACTACTTTTAAGTAGCTAAGAGGCAAGTCTCGACTCAAGCGAAATGTTTTATTCCAGTTCCAGCCGTATATGCTTTACCATAAACCCTAAAATGAGTTTTACCAATAAGAGAATACCCAGATTGGAATGGAATTTGGCTTGACCAGTACCAGGAAGAAGCTCAACACACATGATCCTAGGGCAGTTCCCTATCCTTATCTGGAGCCACCAAGTGGATGGTCACCGACAGCATAAAGTGGTTGTGTGCTGGGACATGCCCTTTCATAGTTCTAGCCTCTTGCAAAAGCTTCTGGGGTGTCTTTTTTATTCATTTATTCATGATGAAGGCCTTTGGTGTTAACTTGCAATTTTATTTTTTAATTAATAAATAAAAAATGCTTATTTTTTAGTGTCAATCTTTTGACGCGTAGTGAGCTAATGCATCTGCTTACGCTGGGCAAGAAACGGTTGAACATCGATCTATATTTGTAAGCAAATAGTCAGTTAACTTATACGAAGGTCTCAGTTAAGAATAGTGTTTCCGTCCTCTTTCAGTGGTGAACAATACAATTTACTCTATATATTTTGTATTACTCTATATTTACCCCAAAATTACCATCTTGTTTACTAGTATTTCACATTTTCAATAATATTTGGTCGCGTGTCATTCTCATTCATCATTTAATAAAATAAAATAGATGTCACCAATTAATTTGTAAAACTTTTGATAAAAATTTGAAATATGTAAATAATAATTTTTATTTTTATAATCTTTTGTATATAAAACCATTTTATATGAGATAAGATTATACACACTATTCAAAATAACATCATAATTTTTAAAAGAGAGTATGTCTACTCATGACTTTAAGCAACCTTTCTTTTAGCCCTCATCTGAGGCTAGTGCCACGGTACTAAGACCATCGCCAGTGCAAACCCAAAGTGTACTAATTCATCTCCAATCAAGCAACCAATAACTCAAAACTCAAACTCAAATCAAATTCAATCAAAATTTCACTTCTTTTAATAGTAGTAATTCACAAAAATGCATTAAACTATAGAAATACTCTATAAAAATAAAAACATAAACCACATAATATAACTACAAAAAGCTACAAAAAAAGGAAATTACTAGAGTTTAAAACATGCGTTGAACTATGGTTGGAACTTGGAGATGCCTACCTAAACGTAATTGGGCCGAATTTGTTCATTGAGTAGTGCTACAAAGCTTACTAAATACGAACCATTTTATTCTATCATAGCAAAATTAAACTCGTGGGAGTATTTGGGCCTTTTACGATTAAATATAATAGCCCAATCATTTACTACGTACTTTTTTATTCCAGCATAATTAAAGTATAAATAAGATATAGAGAAATAACTAAACTACTCCCTCCGTCCCTTAATAATGTTCCGTTTTTGACTTTTGGAGGAATTAAGGGAGGGATATTTATGTGTTGACTTTCCAAAAATACCCTTGATGTGATGTGTAGGAGTAAGATGTGATAGGTAGATTATTAGTAAAAAGGTATGATGTGATAGGTAGGGTATGAAAAAGTAAGGGGTAAAAGGGGTTTTTTAGGGGAAAAGAGAAGTTTATTTAGGGACAAAGAAAAAATGAAAGAGGAACTTTATTTAGGGACGGAGGGAGTATGACTTTAATGTTTTTATCTCAAAAATAAGACTAAAGTTTATTTTTTATTTAAATTCGCGCTGATCCATTAAAAAAATCAATTTTATCACTGGACAATATTAGCATAAGCTACAATGTCAAAGATGGTAATATGCTTCTTCAATAAAAAAAGATGGTAATGCATACTACATATAATCAAACATATCAATATATATTGTCAAAAATATAATGAGATGACAAAAAATAATGTGATTTGCCAACATACAATGACCAATTTACATTACAAACCTAGATCTAAAAAAAGAGTAAAAAATTTGTGATAATAAATTCAAGAAGAGCAATATTTATTTTCGTTACCCTTTTTATCATCGCAGATCACGTTCTTGCGGATCACAATATTCGATTTCGTTGTTTTTTATGCAATAGAATTGATGAAAAGCGGAAGCTATGGTAAAACAAATAACGCAACCTCATAGCGTAAATAATACTCCCTACTAACCAGCTTTTGAAAATTGAAGAGCTTGAGCAAGAATTTTGTGTTTTTAAAAACTACAATAAAATTTTAGTTCTTAAAGTTTAAAAATTAAAATTTTAAACTAGTGAATAGAATAAGTGGATATTTAAATTAAAAAATGATTGGTTTGTGCATTTTGTGTCTTCTCTATTTATTATTCTAGCATTTCTAATGAAATGAATAAATATATTTTGTTAGAATGAGAGAGAAAATATAAATATTGTATATTCATTATTAAGATAGAATATAAAATAAGTTTACAGTTTTTTTCAAAAGAACAAAGCGTAAGATAGTGAATACTCACTTGTTAAAAAGTAATCTTCTAAATAACAATATTTGGCCCTAACTTTTATTTACAATCACAGTGAAACATAAACTATTGAAAAATTTATCTTATGAAACTTTAAGTGCAATCTTGTATGAAATGATACATATTACATAATTCATTTAGGTTGTGTAAAACTTTTCTACGACTTTGTTTCCTAAAACTAAAATTGCACCGAATATAATTTTTCTCAACTCTTCAACAATTAACCTTATACGTACTATTACACAATTCAAATGGTTAATCAATGTTCCTCAAGAACACAATGGGTATAACTTTCTTCAAATTAAAATTACTTCGTGGCTTAAGTTTCTCTAACAGTTGTTCTCATTTACAAACTCAACTTTTATACAATAGTCATTTTCTTAAAATAAATCATTATATTAAATGAAATACACGCCGCAAGAAAAACAGGAGACGACTCAATCAACTTTCACATGCTCTGAGAAGAATATAATGTGCAGCTCGAGCTAACACATGAGCAACTACATTGGCAGAGCAAAAGGTAAACTAAAGCTTAATTACGATCTCTGTAAAAAATACACGAGTGACGACGCTTACAATAATAGAATTAAAATAAGATCAGTCATTGGTTGAATAATAAAGACCATCAACCACTTTCTTACAATTTATTTCCACAATGATATGCCTCTTAAATCTTTGTCCTTGATCCAGCTTAAAGATTCATTTAGTCCAATTACCTCCGCTCCTCTAGGACTAAAACATCATCTACAATGTAAATTCTGTGCAACAATTAAAGCCTTTTGATAGTTTCGAGCAATGGAATTTGAATCCAGCTACATTAATCTTGTCATAACCATTATATAACCGCTATTGATGAACAAAAAATATGATTCTCCACACATTAAAAATATTATTATTCTTTCTAGGGATTAATTAAAAAAATATTAGTGATTCTATTATTATTTTCTTTTTTATTGATTAAAAAATTGGTTACCAACCTTATGATACAAAGAATATGATTCTTCTATCCCGCATCGCCACATTAATTTTGATTAGAAAATAAATATTATTAATCTATCCTGCATTGTTATGATTTTCCTCTATCGCATTGATTAAAAATACCAAAATGATTCTTCTCTCCCCGCATAAGAAAAATAAAATAAACTTTTGAATTACCAATACTATGATTCAAAAAAATCAAAAACTAATAACAAATCCAATGATTCTATTCATCTACATTAATTTAAATAATTTATTATAAAAAATATTAGTGATCCTATGATTTTGCATAGAAATTTACAAAATATTTGATATTGTTTTTCATTCTATTTGAATGCAAAACTATTCCTTTTTTAATTTATTTGATTTAATTATTTAATTATTTAAAAAAATAGTCTAGTCGTTTGTAGTATTTTAGTGTAGAGATTAAAATATATTTTTTATATTTTATTTTATATAAATATTTAAATAAATAAAATCAAAACTAACTTCATTTAAGCATGTCATAAAAAATATTATTTTATAGAGGTTACGGAAGTATCTTTTTTTAAGGAATGAAATTTTATTCGTTCATTGATAGTTTTATTATAAATGAAGTGAAAAAAATAGAAAAGTAGAAATATGTATTCTAATAAAAGAAATGATCTCTATTCCACAATTAAATTTACTAAAAATGTTGAAATTATAAAGAATGTAAGTGTAAAAATAGTATGTCTCCGTAACACATTTTTATATCAATTGTTAACTATAATTTAGTTAAAAATATCATATCAAAATAGATACCTAAGAATATTACATTTTTCAATTTAAATCAAAAATAATATATGGACCATAAACCATAACTTTTATAGTAATAAAGTCAAATCATAAGATCAATAAAATAAAACTTTGAAATTACGTATAGAATTATTTTCCATTTTAATATAATTATAGTTTAGTCATTTCTTTTTTTATATATCTTTTGATGTAGTTTTTAAAAATATTTTGTTTGTTTTTAATTTTACATCAATATTGCAATAAATCATATCAAAGAAAACTTCATTTTAACATATCATAAACAAATACTTGTATCACATCGATTTAGAGGTTAAAAATATTTTGTTTATTGGTTAAAAGCTTTATTATAAAAGAAGAGAGTAAAAAGTATTAAAATTTGAAAGAATGTTATCATTAAAACAAATGTTTCTTTTTCACAATTAAATTTATTCAAGAATTTCATACTAATATACTGATTTCACATTTTGTATATCTTAAATGAAGTGGCCTATTAGATTACTAGGTGTCAAAATAAATTTAAAAGACTTAATAAATCTTAATACAAAAATATTATTAAATACATATCTTAAAGTATGTTAAAAATATTAAGTATGTTAAAGCATAATACAAAAATACTTTTTATCTTAAAGTATTTTATTTATTAGGTGTCAATATTTAAATACATATAATACAATTAATTTCATGTAAACGTATAATAAACAACTATAAATCTTATTTATAGGTGAAGAGAGTATTTTATTTATTATTATAAAAAGTTGTTATAAATGAAGAGAAAAATATAGAATTTGCAAAGAATATTACTCCCATAAAACTATTTTTTCCCATATTTAAATTTAATCAAACATTTCTTACAAAGTTTATAATTTTACACTTTCCATATAAAGAATTATGTTGTATATTAGGTGTTAAAAAAGACAACATAAAAATAATTTTATTTTCTTTCTATTCTATTATAAATTGGGTGAGATAAAAAACCACCTAAACAATGACACATGTCAGCTCCTAGTAATGCCATATGTCATCTCCTAGCAATGCCACATGAACGGGGCTGAACAAATTTTTTTTATTCTTATTTTTTTCAATGTAATATTTTTTGCAGATTAAAGAAAATAAATTTCTTACGTGATTTTTAATACTATATACATCAACGTGAAAGTAGAATAAATAATATTTGAAGAATTGAAAGCGTACAGAACAAAGGCTTATTAAAATCTAATTTTTTTGAAAGACTTTAAGGTATACAACATTTCTAGTATGGGGTCAAGGGTTTTTATTGTAATCTAAAATAAATATTTTTAATAATGTATGTGTCTTCACTCGTGAAGACATAAGATTGACCATAAATGAATACCGACTTAGTTATAAAATCTAAAAAAAGACAAAGTTTCACCTTAATTTTTGTTAATAGTCATAATAAAACATAGAACTATTAAAAATTGTCTTTCTTGAAACTTAAGGGGGTAGCCCTGGATCATATGGTACCAAATTTATTTGAGGTATCTAAACCTTTTCCCCGTTTTGATTTCCCGAAACCTAATTGTATGGTTAACGTTCTTTTGCGGCTCTTTAACAATTAATCTTNTGAAGACATAAGATTGACCATAAATGAATACCGACTTAGTTATAAAATCTAAAAAAAGACAAAGTTTCACCTTAATTTTTGTTAATAGTCATAATAAAACATAGAACTATTAAAAATTGTCTTTCTTGAAACTTAAGGGGGTAGCCCTGGATCATATGGTACCAAATTTATTTGAGGTATCTAAACCTTTTCCCCGTTTTGATTTCCCGAAACCTAATTGTATGGTTAACGTTCTTTTGCGGCTCTTTAACAATTAATCTTGTACTATTACACAATCCAGATAACATAATCTTTTGCAGATTAAAATTGATAAAATAACATAAATATAATTATAAAAGTACACATATTTTTATGTAATCTTTTCTTCGAGTTTTCATTTTCACATGGAGAATTTGTTAAATCTTTCTAAAAATGACATCTAATTTTAAATTTTGTATAAAATTTTATTTATTTAACATAAATTAATTTATCTATGCTAACGATTTAGACATGAAGATAAGAAAATTTTTCAATGCTCATTAAAAAGCAATCGTATAAATTTTAAATACAAAAATTCTGGTCACTAAAATATCTCGTTTGATTTTGTTATTTTAAGAAATTCAAAAATGTTATGTATCAAATTACCTTAAAACAATAAAACAAAATCAAATATATTAAGATAAAAAAATATTTAAAGTACGTACCTTTTCTATGTGCTTTTTTTGTTGAAGTATTCCTTTTCTCCTTTCTCTTGCATCTCTAGCTGATCTCGTCCATGTATCGTCGACTTGATTTTCCATAGCCCCAATTGAAATTGAAAAATAGGATGCTCCTACCACCAATCTTTTTAAAAACAAAAGGCTGAAGTTGAATTAACGATTCTCTGCTTCTTTATTGCATAATTAATTCTGAATGCCTATGTATTGAAATGAAAAATGAAAATGGATGGTGGGTGTCACTTTTAAACTCATTATATATCTCTTTTTATAATAGGATTTTGACCCAAGTATATAAGAGTTTCCATTAATTTGGATATAAAAGTGAGCAATTTAACTCATTGCCAGTTAGATATATAAGTAAGGAATTCAAAATAATATTGTGTCCATCCTATTTATAACGAATTCCTCACTAAAAATAAACGAATCTAGAATAATATTATTGATTATCCAAGATACATAATTAAGGATTGCCATATATAAGTAAAAGGATCCAAAATAATATTAGTATTATCCAACATACATAATATAAGTAAGGTGATGAATAATATACTCGTGATCATAATTTTCAAATTTAGTACTATTTAGGATTGTTTCTTAATAATATTTTTCGTAAATTTTGTCAGTCATCATAAGTTAAGAAAATAATTTATTCTTGGAAATCATATCATTCATGGCTATGCATGAATCATTTTCTAACGCACGAATTTAATTATTTACTTACCTTTTGTATTTTAAGAAGAACTTTATTATGATGAGAATTCCTTGTCAAAGGATTAATATATGTAGCATGGTCCTAAAATTCTATTCAAATTAATTAAAAATATTACTATTTTTGTATTATTTTTTAAATAGTACTCCGTATTTATATTTCTTAATATTTAATTTTCTATATTATCATTATAATTGGAGTTCGTGTTGTTTTAATCTGAATACATATATTTACATATAATATTATTGATTATCCAAGATACATAATTAAGGATTGCCATATATAAGTAAAGAGATCAAAAATAATATTAGTATTATCCAAGATACATAATATAAATAAGGTGATGAATAATATACTCATAATCGTAATTTAAAAATTTAGCATTATTTATGATTGTTTCTTTATTATATTTTTCATAAATTTTGTTAATTCTTTAATATAAAATTTGAGAGTTGATAGCTTAAAATGATGACACGTGGTAACTTAAGGCTCTTAATTTGCTTACACATAGGATGCCACCCGTCCAAAGAAAAAGAAAGCGGAAGCTCCTTCGCAGTAGGGCTGGGTCGGAAAAACCGAAAACCGAACCGAAATTAATTGAAACGAGCTAGAAAAAAAACCGAACCGAAAAAACTGAAACCGAATGTAAAAAAACCGAATCAAACCGTTATTGTTTGGTTCCGTTTTGGTTTTTACTTTGAAAAACCGAACCGAACCGAACCGAATAAGCCGAACTTATTTATATGCTTCTTTTTTATGTATATGAGTATATGTGATATATATAAAAATCATATAAACAAACATGTAAATATATTACTAGTTGATTCAGTTTTTTTAATTAACTATTAATTAAACATTTTAACCATATGTTATAAACTTTAAAAGGTCTAAGATATAAATACCAATAACTAATCCTAATATAGAATTATATAAGATTAAAAATTAATATGAATAGTTAACATATTTACATAAAAAAAACTTTAATGTTATAATGTAAATAAAAGTATTATATCAAAAAAACATAAATTTTCTATAGTTGATTTTACATACGATATCCTTAGGACTAGTTGGAATCTCCTAGATGTTTGTTGGGCACTTGACACATATTTTGTATGTAAAATTGAACCGAATAGAACACTAACCTTCCGTTCAGCATTGCGTGTTTGTAAAAATCAAGCAAAAAAGTCAAATCCAAACTTACGTATTGTTATTGCTTCGTCGAGTTAGTATTTAAACAATTTTTAATGCTTATAAATATTTACTTTTATTAACCGAAAAAACCAAAAAAAACCAAAATAAAAACCGCATAAAACCGAACCGAATAACCAACGATTTACATATTTTTTATGCAAAACCGAACCGAACCGCTAACTTACCTTCCGTTTTGTCTTTGGTTTTGGTAAAAACCGAACCCACCCCTGCTTAGCCGGCCCAATACCAATTCGTTCTCTCATCTTCGCGACATCTTCTTTCCCGAAGGAAAGAAAACCTGCAAGGAAACGATGGATGATTCAACCCAAATTCCTCGCTGCGTTAGATCTTCACTGAAGGAAAGAAATCGCTGTAACAGGTACTGCGTTACAACCATCTATTTGCCCAATTCTAGGAAAACCGACCGGTACTTCGAATTAGGTCTTCTTCTGTTCTTAGCCATACCCAAGTCTTCTTCTCTAGGACTATTGATCCTTCGCCAAATTCGAGAGGGTTTTTCTTCTTCCGTCGTATTCCAGTGGCTGGGCTAAGCAAATTCCTAGCGAGGAGGGAGTTACGATGCCCATCGCCGACGATGTTGACGGAGGGTAACATAGTCGACAATTAAATCCAGACAATATGATGATGATGATGATGATGATGATGATGCAACATAGGCGAATAGATTCAATGATACCACAAAATAATGGCATCTCAATTTCTACAGGTAAGGCATATGTCCTCATTATAATGTCAATTCATCTCTGACTTATTCTCTCTTTATACTCGATTAGATGAATTTAAACATGAATGGGAAGAATCTAATTCATACATCTCATTCTCTATTGTGCATACCAGTTTCTAAATCCACATAGAGAGAATGTTGTTCTCTGCTTCAGATCCAAACAAAAGATTGGTGGATCAGAATATTAGATTACTCTTGCATCGAAGTTTGAAAATCTAGAGGGAACTCTGTTAAGCCAGTAATCTTTTCCCTTCTTAAATTCAATGCTTTGAATCAATTTTCTTAATGTATCCATAGATATGTTATTTCACTCACTTTCTAAGATTTCTTAAAGAAAATAGTTAATGGTGTATTGAATTTTGGATGATTGAATTTATTTTTTGTTTCATTAAATAAAAATGGGGATAGAGCACGCTTATTGAAAAACTAGATATTGATTAATTGGATTATGATGAAACCGCTCTCTTTCTCTATGCGGAAGTTTAACTCTTTGATGATAGAGTTCTTTCAAGGTAATTTTTTTTTTTCATTTTTTCTTTATATTGTCTTTTATGTAGCTTTGTAATTTCGAGATGATGAAAGTTGATTCTTTGATTATTCATATTAAGCAAACACATATACAGGTAATGTAATACACACAACACAAAATAGAATTATGCTTCATTTTCTAAAGCATCTAGATTGGTTATGTGTCATAGTCATATAAGATGAATTTTGTTTTTCTTCATTTCTCTTTAAGCTTATTTTGCATTTGCAAGTTTTAAATACTTTGTCTCTCTAACATTTCTTATTTTGACTTTGGAGAAGTCGTAAATGTTTGACAAAGGTGAAACGATGACAATTAAAAATATTAGGGTTTGAGAAGTGTCAAAACATATACCGATAGGGGCGTATAAGGAAGTATGGGTAGGTTAGAGTTAGAAAAGTTAGAAAACATTTATGCCTATTCATGACAATAGAACTTTTTTGGGACCATAAAAAATTAAAAAAAAAGAAATGTTTTGCGAGATGGAGGGAGACCTTTTAATTTTTTTTAAGATTGTGTGTACAAGAGGACACCTTTTTGTGAATGTCAGAGGACTCCCATTACAAAAACATAATGGAAATGCACAATGTTAACTAAAAACATTAAAGGAAACCATTTGAGCTTACTTGAGACCACTAAAACTAAACTCACTTCAGACAAACAAGCTGATGCATGCATATTTATAAAATTTGTTGTATGATATGAGCCTATTGGATTTTTTATATAGAACATTAGCTTTGTAGTTTATAATTGTTGTATTTGATTCTCACTTCCGTATTTTCTATTCTTTTTCCTTTTGTTTCTCATATACAAGGCCATATATGAGATAACATTTATGAACTCTTTCTTGATTTGAGAGATAATAAAAGGACATGACGTTTTATGGCTGCTATTTTAGGTACCATCTCTCTGTCTCTCTTCATGTCTCTTCATGATTTTTTATCATTAGTATTTAATATATTTGATTCCTGATATTTACCAAAACACGTCAATATGATAGAATTTGAGCCAGACTATACCTTGAGTAATGAAGTAATTGTGCACTTACAAATAATTCTTTGTATGTATATTTTTTTCAAGTCACATGGATAATTTGAGAGTTGATGGTCTATTTCTGTGTATAAAAGTGTCGTATGTGATGTGGTTATCCTTTCCTTGTAGCAGATCTTTTCACTGGCAAGTGTGTCATCTTTAGTCGAAGGTGATTCTTCAGCACCTACTCTTGGCTTCTCCAGTTCTCCTCTTCAAACCCTTTCACTTTAATTTTTTTGCTACAACTAGAGACATTACATAGTAGCATGAAGTCACATGAACCCTTTTAGTGGTAGGCTTGGGCCAACAGCCAAAGACGGTATTGAAGATTACATTCTGAAATGCTTATAAAAAGAATTACTTGCGGCTCTCTTATCTGAGTGCTGGAAATGTGCTACTAGAGAAGTTTTTCACTTACATGCTGCTGTTTTTATGAAATATTTTTAAAGTAGAGTTCATTCAGTTCATAAGTTTTTTCCCATATTGAACATTTTTTGTGGGAAAAGCAAAGATAAGGAAATTTAACTTTCATTTTTCATTTCTTTTGATTTGATCTGGTGTGATTTGATTTCAATAAAAAAAACGTTATAGGCAATAAGAATAAGTTGAAGAAAACATGACTTTATTCATATCAGATATAACATGACTTTATTATACTCCGTATTTCTTTTTCTTATTGGAATCAGTTCATATCAGATCAAAAATAACTTTAAATATAACTACATTCAAATTAAAATTTGTATGAATCAAATCAAAACCATACAAATCAGTAGAGAGAACTCCTCTACATTCTACACTTCATACACCCAAAACTCCTCTACACTTCATACTAAAAAGTAGACCCGACAAAATTTGACCCAACCCGTTATTAATACAAAACCCGGTCTGAAATTAGCGGGTTTTGGACATTGATTTTGCAACCCGAACCGAAAGACTCGTTAAACTTTCGGGTTAGAGCGGGTCGGGTCGGGTTTGACCCGATGAGTTATGCACTTAATTGTTTACTTTTATTAGTTATTTAATTTTATATATTAATTTAAAATATGATATACCCATAAGGCTACTCAAAAGGTGTAAATTAAAATAACCTAAGTTAAATTCAATAACATTTTAGTCTCTCTCTCTCTCTCTCTCGTTCTTCCACTCTTCCACCGTCTGTCGATATTAGGTGCTGACTCAATCAAAATGGTGAGAAGACACAAGAACAATAGTGGAATATTTAATCTTATTTCATTTTCTTCAGTTGCTCCTACGAGTAACTCAAGTTTTAATTCTTTTCATCTAAATTTTTTGGTATATTTTAAATTTTTTTGGTATTGTATAATTTTTTTGGTATACCACATTTTTTGTATGTTGCAATTATGTAATGACGGTACATGTTGTGGTACATTCTATAAAAAAATGTAATGACGGTACCATGTGAAAAATATAAACATGAATCTGTCTTTTCATCTATTGCAAATTGTTGTTTTGGTATGTTGCAAGAATCTCAATTTTTTGTATAATGTATATATATTTTTTGGGTATGTTGAAAGAATCTTTACTTTTTTCATCTACTACTATTTTATTGATATGCTGCAAATATCTGATTTTTTGGGTCTATTGCAATTTTCTTTTGGTATGTTAGGTTGCAAATAGAACTACAAACTTTTATGATTTCATTTTTTGTTTTGAATAATACATGGATCACTTGATCTCTAAATAGAAAAATTTTGACTTTTAAATACGCCTCTTAACCCGTCGGATCAACCAGAACCCGATAACTCTGGATCATTAACACTGAACCCGAAATAACTCAAACGCAATAACACCGAACATGAATTTGACCTGACCGACCGTTTTGCCAGACCTAGTAAAAAGTAGTGAAAAAGTAGATGAAAGTATAATCTTTTTAACAACCATGCTACACTTACACCAAAAAATGTACCCCATTTGTACACCACAGTTATGTACAAACATTTTGATGGTTTACACCGACACAAGTGTTGGTGCGTTAACAAAAGCTTACACGGACACAAAGTGTTAGTGCGTTTAACAAAAATTAGTTTTACATCAACACAAAAATGTAGGTGCAAACCTATGGGGTACAAAGTGAGGTAAAAAAACTTGGGGTACATATAGCTTAATCATCTTTTTAATTTGGTCCAACTCCAAGCATCCCGTGCTTCATGCACACAAGCACATGTGAGAGAATGTGAGATGATTGCGGGTTCTCAATGGTTAATTTGAAAACAAATACTCGTAGCAAGATCATCATATACAGGGCCCCCCAAAAACACGTGAATCACAAGTACACAGCCACAAACTTTCCATTTGCATGTACGGAGAATTTATCTTTGGTCCCAATTACAAACCCATACCAAGTACGGCGTATTATAATTACCCAGTATAACAATTCTCACAAAATAAATTTTACTCTCCCTATCTTAATTTGGTTCGTCTGTTTCAATTCATAATATTTATTTAAAATTACTTTCAAATTAACTTACAAGATAATTGGAGCGGAAATAAAAAAATAAATTTAAATATTAAAAAACTACGAAGTACATCAAAACTCTACGAAACAAGAGTTTACATGACTATATTCTTTTTCCAAATTAGTAACAAAAATAAGAAAAAAAATGAATGAAGTTTGACCTTTTGAATGGTAAACACAAACAGTTAATATAGGACGGAGGGAGTATATTATCATTTTTAGTTTTGTATAACTTTTTTATCACTAAAATTTATTTAAGAATCATTTTTAAAATAAAAAATATTACATCTAGATTGTTAGGAAAAAATAGATAACATAACTATATAATTTTATCAAACGAATAATAGAAATAAATCAAATAATTGAAAAATACAATTATGTAATTAGTGAAAAACAACACTTTGACAAAGATGGAGCGCGCGCGCGCACACACACACATATACATATAATCAAAAGGGAAATAAGAGTATAATAATAATGTGATTTAAGAATACACATTGACAGGGTGATGAGAAAGTGATGAAAGAGTAATATGATAGTGTGATCATTCAACTACCGAGATCGATTGTAGCAACACTTTGGTAGTTTGGTTACCACCGGCGATAGAAAAATAGTGTGACAGTGATAGTGTGGCACTTGTAGATTTACAATGTGGTGAGTGTGACAGTTTAACATGTTAAAGAGTATCCCACATCGGAAAAGTGTGAAGAATATAATGGGAATATATAAGCTCTTGAGTTAAACTAAGTAATATATTGGATTCAATCTTTTAATATGGTTCAGCCAAGTGTCTTATTGCACAATCCAGTTATCACTATACGATCCTAAATTTTATCATGATATCAGAGCAGGTTTTGGCCCACCTCGTTTGTCAAGGTGTCCGTCTAGACGTTCATTCCTAGCGGCCTGTTAGTCTTTAGCCCAGTTATCCGTATGGAGTATGTATCTAACGGCCGTTGGCCCAGTGGCGGAGCCAGGGGAGACTTCATGGGGG